ACAGTGATGAGATGTTGTCGGATCTCTGGAAGTAAGGCAGTGAAGAAATGTTCCCGCAAATCAATATCAGACATTTCAGTCCGATCTCCAATATCCTTGAACTTCTGAGCGAATTCTGCAACTGTCTGCCCTTTACTTTGCCTGAGATTCTTGATCTCGCTACGGGCTTCCATACCTGGGTCCATTGGTTCAAACTGTTGAGCAGATTCCTTCAGGAATGTATCCCAATTTCCTCCGAAAGGGGGTTTTTCTGCACTGAAATGTAGCAGATGGGGAGTTGCCCAATCTCCAGCACTTTCTGTGAAGAAGCCCAGGGCAGACTTGATAAGTTTCATTTGGCTTTTGGCGAGATCAGGTTGTTCGGATGCTCAATTTTGGAACTGAGCCATGAAGCGGTGAGCTTCAGAGCCGTCTTTACCCTTGAAAACCTCAGGTTTGTTCATGCTTGACTTGGAGGACGAGCATTCCTCCATAGCTGTAGCAAGGTTGGCTACTTGTCTCTTCTGCCACCTTCCTTGCCCCTGAACTGTACAGTATTACATCGTCATTTCTCGCAAATCAGATTATGTATATATAGCCAACCCTCCACAGCCTGGTCCCTTATCTTGACCTCTCTGTCATTATCTGGGACCAGCCTGCCTCCGTTCTGCTTAGTCGCTCTGCCTTGCTGCCTTGCTCAGTTGCTCCGCCTCTCCACTTTGCTTAGTCACTCCGCCTTTGCCACTTCATGACATTAGGTCAAGATCCATTACTGCACTGACAGCCTACAGATAAGGTTGTCCTTGCAGGATCCGCATACACCATGTCTTCTATACCTGTAGACCCTCCTGCTCTTACTGCTACAACAGACTGCTCCATCCTCGATGACATGCCTAAATTTTGGCTAGACTTCTATGCTGTGAATTGTGACATTTTCACGTATAGATTTGTATCGAGAGGACTGTAATTGAGACCCAGATTGACAGTCAAAGTCAATACTGAATCAGTCTAATAAGTTGAAGGGACCATATACCCATACTACCACAAGTTGGTTAGTTTACCCATTCCCAATACTACCACTCGGATAGCAGTCTACCTGTTTGTCAAGCAGGATTATACCAGACTCGGACTACATCCAAAGGATGACCATTCACGTATGATATACCAAGGGTATTTTTATTGGACCTTACACTGGCAGGAGTTTGGAAGAACTTACTCAAGTGACCATGAGCCGAGGATTGACTTGAAATGACTTTCTAGAACTCAGGAATTATCAAATACTCCTTCTAGAACGAGATCATGCATTAATCTAAAAGACTGCGATTTAGTCTAATAGACCAATCAGGTTGCATGGTTGAGAAAAATGACTAGAAGAACGATCGAAGTACTGCAAGGCTCCGAAGACATATCAAATGAATGTCAAAGGATCCTGACATAGAAAATATTGAAGAATGCAATTAAATGAATACTATGTGTAACTCCCTTGATAGAGTATAGGCACAATGGGTGTCTATTGAAAGAGAGAAGCAATTAGTTTAATCCAACTGAATCAGATTGATAGGATTAGAATCGAGGAGAGCTGATTTGCCTCCGGACGAGGTGACAAACGATTGAAGTAAGTGTTGAACAGCAATGACAGCTGAACACCATTTGAGTCATTCTCCAAAACAATTAAATTAAATGAATATTGAAGTACCTACCTATGTTTGGAGGTATACTAGAATCTTGGAACCATTATGGACCAAATAAGGACATGTAGATTCAAATTAAATGGTATCTGACCAATTGTAGAAGTTTCCTTGCGGTTCCGAACGTTTTTTGTATTAAATTAATTGTACTGTGCGACTCCATATCCTGTATGTATAAATAGCAATCCAATGTATCTGGAATAGAAATGATTTTGGGACGATGTTGCAGTGGTAATCTGTAAAAAGGAAAGACACACTCCCACCAGACTGAAACCTCTTTGCTAGCAGCCATTCAGGCCCAGCACTTGTGAGTATAGGAACATCGTGTTCTGCTCCTTGTGACTGCGAGAAGTATATCCAGTTGTTAGTCTTAAGGGCAAGTCACGCTGTGTGGTTGTGCCAGCACATAGTTCTAGCCCTCCGTAGGGGTCTGTGTGTTTCAGTTTTAATTTACTTTGATTCAAACCCCCAAATCTTGATATACCCATATCAATACAATCAAAGCACAAATCATGCTGAATATACCAAATCCTTAGAACAATTCAAATTGATTGATCCCAGCTTTTCCTAGCTCTCAAAGCTTTGCAGAACCTTTGACAACGCTACCCCTTGCTATTAAATAAATTTGATAGCAGTGAACTCGCATATTGTGTATTAGATTGGTTGGTTGGAGTGCCCATTTGATTCCTTCCTTTCTCTTTCACACAAAAATGAGGCAAGCTTGTTAACAGACCATTCCAACCTCATATTCTGGTGCACAGCACAAGACCTCACCCGCCGACAGGCTTGATGGGCCCTCTATTTATCACGGTTTGACTTTCATATGATCCACCATCCTGGCAGAGTAAACATCCAAGCTGATGCTCTTTCCCGCATGGCAGTTCATCATGTATCGGACAGTGATAACAATTGACAACAAACTGTCCTTAAACCTGGCCACTTCATCAAAATTGCAGCTTCAATCCTATGGAACCCTCTAGAGGATCGTATCTGGAAAGCCTCAGAATGGGAAGCACAAGTACTGAAAGGCCTGGAAACAGTCAAGAAGCACGGGTTACAGCGCTTGGCCAATGGGATAGCTGAATGGGAAGAGGACAACGGGTTGGTCTATTACCGAGGCTAAGTATATGTGCCAGCAGATGATGACCTATGCACTGAGGTACTCCATCAATGCCACGACCATCCAACTGCTGGACATCCTGGACTACATGGGACACTCGACCTGGTCAGTACCCATTTCTGGTGGCCAACACTGCGTTCTTTTGTGGAGAAATATGTTGAGGGATGCGAGGTTTGTGCCTGTAAAAAGATCCAATGTCACCCACGGGCCGTGACTTAACCCATCCGGTCTATGGGAAGAGGTAGGGGTTGACCTGATAATGCAACTGCCTAACTCCCAAGGCTACAACGCTGTCTTGGTCTGCACAGACCTGTATGGAAAACAAATCCACGCTATTCCCTGCACCAGCTCCATCACAGCTGAAGGCGTCGCTGATATCTATTACCGAGAAATCTTCCGTCTCCATGGTCTTCCCCTCCACTTCAAATCCGACCGCGGACCTCAGTTCGCAGCTAAACTCATGTGATCCCTCCTCGCTAGACTGGGAATTAAATTAGATCTAACCTCCGGATATTGTCCTCAGTCCAATGGCCAAACTGAACGCGCAAATCAGGAAGTGGAAAAATACATCCGCCTCTACGTGGGACGACGACAAGATGACTGGGCAGAACACCTCCCCATGGCGGAGTTTGTGATTAACTCGCGGACTCACTCGGCCCTAGGCATGTCCCCATTCGAGTTAACCTATGGATACCTTCCCCTGTTCAATATCCCGGTTGGTCAACGCAGCGGCATTCCAGCTGTGGATAACCACATACAGATTCTCCGAGAGGCGCAACAAGATGCCGGGGCTGCCTTATACCTAGAAAAGAAACAACAGAAGGAGGGATATGAATGCAGGAAGCGGAAAGCTCACCAATTCAAAGTTGGGGACCTAGTCTGGCTCAGTGCAGAGGACATTAACCTTCAGCTATCCAGTGAAAAGCTAGGAGACTGGCAGCTTGGACCTTATCGTATTCTGGAGAAAATTGGGCCTTTAGACTACCGCCTTGATCTTCCCCTATCCCTAGATCGCCTTTATCCTGTCTTCCATGTTGACAAACTACATCCCTGGAAAGGTAACCCCATTAACGGTGAAATACCAACACCACCAGAGCCAGTATACTTAGAGGATGAAGATGAACCGGAATACAAAGTAGAGGAGATCTTAGACAGTCGGGTTCGATGGAAGAAGTTGTAATACTTAGTTAAGTGGAAAGGTTACAATGCAGGACACAACTCTTGGGAACCCGCACCTAACCTCAGTTGGGCACCAAAAATTATTCGAGCCTTTCACAAAAAACATCTGACAGTGGCAAAACCTTGACCATTGAGGGCAATGGTCATAAGGAGGGGTAATGTCAGAAAGTATGCAGCCCCTATCATTTTCCCTTTCTCACTGTCTCGACGCCTTTACTTGTATGATACATCATCCCATCACTGTCAACCCCCATCGATTACTGATCCACCTGACCTTCTCTTTCTATCGGCTTCCGCCACCTTCCTTGCCCCTGAACTGTACAGTATTACATCATTGTTTCTCACAGACCGGATTATGTATATATAGCCAACCCTTCACAGCCTGGTCCCTTATCTTGACCTCTCTGTCATTATCTGGGACCAGGTATGTGCTTACTTATTATTACCTATGACTACGATACTCAATATATCTCTGTCATTATCTGGGACCAGCCTGCCTCCATTCTGCTTAGTTGCTCCGCCTTGCCGCTCTGCTTAGTCACTCCGCTTTCTTGCTCCATTATTCACTCCGCCTTTGCCGCTTTGTGACACCGCTAGTCCCTGGAGATTGAGAGTAGAGAAAGAGAGAGCCAGGAGCAGACAAGTCAGAGCGGCGGTAATGCTGATGACAAGGAGCAAACCAAAGAATGTATAAGTCCTGAGGTCAGAGTGGAGAGTACTCAAGGGAGAATCCTTAAAACTTCAGAGGGAGAATGAGTGACGATCTAAGTTAATCTAAGATGGTCTAAGTCAATAATTAAACTGAGGAACTACAGTATAGTACAGGCAGTATTTATACCTACTAATCAGTGTATTGGAGCAGAGCGCCAGACTAGCTATTAGGGGCTATATGTATAGTACCTGCAGGGTAAAGAATAAGACAATAAGGAGGGACTAGGATGAATGGGTATGTATAGTGAGAAAGAATAATAAAGGAGAGATTACAATAAAGGGTGGATCTTGGAATACCAAGTGGTGGAGCGGGGCACCAAGGCATGGACTTGACACTCACCTGGGGTGACGTTGATTTCTATCTTATTCCTGATGATGAGGATCCAGCTCATCCCTCCCTTGTTGTCAACATTCAACTCAACCTTGTCAAGGGTTATCACGACGTGGACCACAGATATCAAAAACTGCTCTTCACCCTCGAACTTCACAAGGAGCATTGTATGACATGTATTGTTCTGCCTCTTCTAGGTCTTGCGTTCCATGATTCAGTCTTCGCTCATTTCCACTCTATCGAGAGTCTCCTTTGTCCTGAAAAACCACCCACCATGCGGGTCAAGATTTTGCTTTGAAATGAAGACCTAACTCTTCCTGTGTTGCGAAAGGAGGAAAAGGGAGGAGGTGGCAAGATATCAAAGACTGAGGCATTCCCCTATGATGGATTACTTCATTATCTGAAGTCACTTTCTATTGCTGCAGGATTCCTAGGTAGGTTCAACTGCTCTCTCTTTTGTGTGCTGGCATCTTATCACATTTAGAACCCCTTACTCCATATGACTTCCATGCGTCTCAGGGAAACAAAGCAGATGTGGATCTCGAAGAAACGGCAAAAAAGACCTTGATGTTGCACGACCCAAATTCCAAAGTTTATTTTGCAAGTAAATTCATTCCATCTCTTGGTTTAGACGCTGATGGGAAATATCAGAATAAATACAAATTGAAGACAATAACTGCTGACCTATCTGCTGTATCTAATCGTAGAGGTCAGGCTGAAAACAGAATAACACTCTTTTGGGTAGGCATCAATTTTATGGTTGAAATCCCCTTCCCTGATGAAACCTTTAGACAGCCGTCGCTGCCTCGTCAGGTTGAGATACTAACACACCTCAACATCTGTCTTTGGAGGAGAGGGCAAAACTATTGAATGAGCTAGAACTTGTCAAGCTACAAAACGAAAAGGATGAGGTATGAACTTTTACTTTGGATAGCTTACAATACTTGATCCAATCTACTCAGGCCACGAACAAGATTCACCAATTGCTAGCTGACGAGCAATCTGAAGAAGTCGAAAATCAAATCATTGAGTTGCGTCAAATTGCAGCCAAAGCCTCAAACACCTATCGTTTTATGTACTTGCGTGAATCAGATCTGCGTATCAAACAAACTCATCAAAAATTCTTTGACAAAGCTGCCATCCGCCAAATAGTCAATCCGGTGCGTAATCCATAAAACTAACATATAAACTCTATTGAAATTATCTCTACATTAGACCGAGCCAGTGTTGGGCATGAGTGCTGGTGGATTAGATGACAAGCAATATAGGATTGAATCTTCATTCTTAAGTCTGGTCAAGGATCTCAATAGTGGCGATCCTGTTACCGATTGTTGTATACTGGTCAATGTTCTTATCGCGCAGCCGGAACAGATAATCTATCAAAAATTCTATCCCAGTGAAAGACCTGATGACAAAAACAGATGTCCTCATTGTTCAGAAGACCTCACGTATGAAGTTCCATTGCCATCTATGTTCATTTATTGATGTATTAACAGTACATTGAAAAAGACCAAACCTGGTGAACACATCCATTCCTGCACCAGAAGGATTCTTTCAGAGAAGGCTACTGCTTAAATTCAAGCAAATTTTACCTCCCAAGAATGCAAATATGGAAAATGTCTTGAAAAGTTTGATTAGTGAGTCATCTGATGGTCAGCATCTCTCACTCTCGTTGGTGGATTCTTCTGACTATATATCACATTCTAGACACATATCAAGTTTGCTTGAAAGAAGTCAAATCATTGTAAATGGAAAATTGCCCTGGGGGTCTCTTGTGGTGCAGAGAACATCAAGGATTGGAGAGAACACTTTGCTGAGATTCATGGTTTCAACCTTGATCAATGCATCTTCACGGAGTATTGTACAATCTGTGGAGTATGGTATGAACCATATCAATACACAGCTTGTTCGAAGTCTTACCTGCCTTTTCAGGCTATATGATATCCTAGGTGACCATCAAGTGTTCCATAATTACCATCTAGCCCATTACGAGGTTCTATTTGACCCATTCAGTTTACGGCCTTCAGAGAGTGCTAGCATCTTTCTTTTGCCTATTGGAATCACTGAAACCGAAAAATACATCGAATACGCTCCTGGGTCAGGATTTAACGGAGTACTGCCTGAATTCCATGGGCATTTCTCTGACAGCATCACTCTTGTTCCTAGTTTCTGCCCAACTTGTGTATTTGACAAGAAATTGCCTATGTACATATGGATGCATCAGTTAGTTCACCCTCTATTCCCCATTTGCTTATTTCTTACTGTCCTCACACCAAACAAGAACTCATAATTCATTTGATCAAATTTCATCATATATTGCTTGCCAGTACAGGTAAACATTACAGGGTTAAATGTCTTCTCCTTCCCTCACCTGACATGGAAGCAGTCAAATATAAGAGGAGGAAGAAATCAGAGGGCTTCTGGTGTCTTGGGTGTTCTGGCGAGGTCAATGACATCAACAAATATCTGCAAAGGCTGCAAAATAGTGAGAAAGCAAGGGAATGCACTGGGATTGGGAAGTACTCTGTCATTGCCAATGGTGAACATGGTCCTGTTCAGCTTTGGACTGCTCCATTGTCAGTACATGTTTCATTTCTCTGCCTTGATTTGATACATACACCTGACATTCATACAGTGGGAAATGCTATTGTATAAAGTCTCCACTTCAAGTTTGTAATATTAATATTGCCAATATATCCATTGTCAAATGCTTTGACAGTTGAGACTGGTTCAATTGGAGTAGCAAATAGGATTTCCCATTTGTACAGTCTCCAATTTTCCTTACTGACAAGTTGTTTTTCATCAGGTAGTCATGGTATGTCCAGGCTGTTTCCAAACAACATTTCATATGCTGCAAAAAACTTTTTCAATTGGGTTCTTTTACTTTTGTTAACCTTTTGTTCTCCCTTAAAACATGAGTCTTATAATCTGTGAGTAATCTACTGTATGTTAGCAATGTGTGTCCCTACAAACAACTAGCAAGCTCATCTCAGTTAGATGTAAATCAACTAAGGGTCTCAAGAATGCCATTGTCACAAAGCGGCAGGGGCGGAGCGACTAGCGGAGCAGGAAAGCGGAGTGACTAAGCAGGAAAGCGGAGTGACTAAGCAAGGCGATGAGGCGGAGCGACTAAGCGGAGCAGAGGCAAACTGGTCCCAGATAATGACAGAGATATATTGAGTATCGTAGTCATAGGTAGTAATAAGTAAGCACATACCTGGTCCCAGATAATGACAGAGAGGTCAAGATAAGGGACCAGGTTGTGAGGGATTGGCTTTATATACATAATCCGATCTGCGAGAAATGACGATGTAATACTGTACAGTTTAGGAACAAGGAAGGTGGCGGAAGCCAGTAGAAGGAGAAGGGTAACAGGTGGATCAGTAATTGATGATGGGGGTCAGGTGGATCAGTAATTGATGGGATTTGACAGTGATGTAATTGTACAAGTAAGGGCGTCAAGACGGTGAGAAAAGGAAAATGATAGGGGCTACGTACTTCATGACAGCCATAGGCATGATATACTACAAACTGTACAGTACCATTTATAATGCCATCTGTCTTGTACGTACTCGTATGGAGTATTCCCCAACACATAGATGTCTAGCCAAAATTTAGGCATGTCATTGGTATGGCTATATGTCCCAGGCATCAGTGCCAGGTGTGTATGTCAACTGGTTTCTTGTAAGACCTTGCTGAATTGGCTAGCATCTGGTCTAGGATCTCAACTTCATATGTCTTGGTTTTCCTCTCCCCATTATCACTACCAGCCCTTCCAGTGTCTTAACACTCAATACTCTGTCGCCTCACTTCCCCTTGAAGGCTTGTTGATCAAGATTTGACAGAGAAATTAGGTTATAGCTAAATTCTGGTATGTGCTTCATGTTCGTAAGTTGAATTCACTGAGTTACTTCTCCGATTCTGGTTATAAACTCAAAGGTCCCTATTCCATGTATCTTGAACTTTCCAGCGTCACCTGCTAGAGCCCTGGTCCTACTCTGCCCCATTCTGCACCTGTACCTGGCTGTATTCCACAATGTCTAATTTGTTTACCCAGCAATGTTCAGGTGCCCCGGAATTGATGAATGTAGTAGACGGTGTTTTCACAGGTGCATAGAGTAGTGTTTTGCTTTGGCATGCAGTGCATGCAAGTGGGCTAGGCACTATGTAGTGCTTATGTATGTACTCACTCCCATTCACCTCCTTTGTCCCCTGTGTTAACATTTGATGACTCACATACCATCCATGGAACATTGTTCTCATATTACTAACCACTATCTCACTATCGTGTTATCAATCTCACCACCGTGTACTATTACTTTAGGACTACCAGTAGGATACATTGTATTGTACTTCCTTTCTCTCTTGCTATGTTTAGCTGTAATATGACATCGTCTACCTTGGACTTGTATATAAACTTGTAGTATTCACCTTGTTGAACAAGCAGTCCTCTCTACTCCTTCATCGTCTGATCTGTGTGATCAACTACAGTGCTGTGTGCACTCTATCTCTTACTGCCATTGCTGCTGAATGTAACGTGCTTATATTCTAACACCCTGATGCTTCCACCCTCTCAAAAAGGTATGATCATTGCTATCAAGGGGCCCGTCAGCTGGGTGTGTACCTTTGCAGTGAGTGCAGGAGGACAACGTACTTGCACTGTCTCTAGTCATTTCAGTGCAGACAAGACGTATATCTCCAGGGGTGTCGCAGCCATAGTCGACATACTGGTTATCACCACCATGGCATTTCCAGGATTCTGATTCCTATTCAGCTCATTGTTCTTGTTGAACCTCTATCCATTAGGTCCTTTACCTTCTGCGCCTCCTCCCTTTTGCCCACCACTTTTGGATAGTGTGGCTGACCTTTCTGCAGTTGGGGTTTGTACATGTTGCATTGGCATGTTCTTGTCTGGGGGCCTGTATGCTTGCTATGTGCATCATGAGGAATGCTTTGACTTTCTTCTCCTCACACTTCTTCTTCTGTCCGCCTTGTTTCCCTCTGTAGCCAAATACCTTGGAGGTAGATGAAGCCTCCACTACTTGTCTTTCCAGGGAGGTGCCTAATACTGGCATCCCAGGGCCTTAGGCAGTGACACAAGGACAATAACACAGAACTGTCTATCTGTTATCACCGCCCCAGCATCCATAGCCCTCCTAAGTAGGATTTCTCCTAGTCCTTTTATATTCCTCCATCATCTCTTCAGGGTATCTATACCAGTGGGACTCAGAGGTTGCTGTCATAGAATTTAAAAAAACTCTTCCAATTATTTATTTATTCAAATTGATTCACCCAGTTCCCGCCAGATTTCCAATTTCCAACGCAGTTTCAGTGTAGTTTTGATGTAGTCTACCTTTAGCCAGGGGTAGAGTCAAGAATATTTGAAACTATGGTGCTTTTGCTACGTATCAGTCGTGAGTGTACCATTCCTCAGGTGAGGGTGTTTGTTGTTTGGCTGTACAGTGGTATCATGTACTGTAGGTGTAGTAGAGTGGTTGTTTCTTCTGAAGAGGTAAACAGTTACTACGGGATTGGCATTGCCGGGCTTAGCAATAGTTCTGTGTCAGAACCCTTGCACCCCTTTTGATTCTACTGCAAGGCTAACCTTCCCACTTGCTTGTATAGCCACCACTCATCCTCCCCTTCAAGGGAATCATTGTGTTGGACATTCAGCATATTTGCTAATGAGTGAAACTGGTTGGTTTGATTATTGCAGATGTAATTATTTTTTTTAATCTTATTTTTTTTTTTTTTTGCTCCTCTACAGAACAAGTCTTATAATTTATAATTTGTTAGATGATAAACACTCAGTTGGATAGAAAACGACTATACCAGGTACTTGTTAGATGATAAATATATGTAATAAGTATGTGTTACACACAGGTAAGTAATCATTGGGCTTACCTCAGTTGGATAAAAAACAACTAAACAACTGAGGGAGCCCATGTATGTTATCCACAGGTGGCTGGTGAACTGTATAGTGTATATATATGTAGTCCTGTAGACAAAGGCAAATAAATATACTGCCCCTATGGACTGTGTATATGCCAGGCGGAGATAGAGTCTAATAACAAGTCTAAGATGTGTTGCCCATTGTATCTAAGATGTGATGCCCAATCTTTGAATATGCAGGTAATGCGAGTTTGTCATGAGTGTAGTATAGTTTGTCATGGATATAGTATAAACCTGTGTGTACAATAAGTATAGGTGAGTGAGAAGTGTTGATAACCTTGATAACCACAAAAACCCAAAAAACCACAAAAAACCACCCAAACAAAACCCACCAGACCATAAAACCCACAAAACTGCCCAAAAATAACAAAAAACCACAAAAAACATACAACCAACAACACACTTCAAGCACATAAAAAGCATATAAAAAATACGGGATGACATGAACACTGCCCCAGAGAGGCTCGAACTCTCGACCTTCTGATTGATATGATGTGTATACCTGTTAAGATCATGTACACCGTGTAACCGTGCCAAAGTTACAAGGTGTCTAAGTGCGGAAGACGAATGGGACAGTAGTGAAGTTATTAACAACACCGCCGTTACGCCGTTAGTCCCTGGAG